AGGGGCCGTTACCATAGCATTCTTCAGGTACACAAAGGCATCAACCATTTCATTTGACCATGTGAGAATGTCAGATGACTTTGAAAGTGTGGCAGACCCTCTGAGTGTGATCATAGAATGAACAATCAGGTATCCATTGGCGGCAGTAACCAATTATACCAAGAAAAGTTAGCATGTAATTTTTTGTTTGTGGGCGGGGCAGACCCAGGAGAGCCACAGCTCTCTTTTTGAATGACATTCCTCTCACCATGACTTAAAATAAAACCACAAGGTATTCAACCTGTTTTTGGCACCATTTGCAGTTTCTTTTTAGATGCTTTGTGACCATTCCCTGACAACCATTCTAACAGAGACTAACAATCCTCCTGACTGGCCGCCTGACTTGGACTACAAATCAATAGGTCGTCCACCATATTGTAGGAGGACCGAATCATTGGGAGGGATCCCAGGACCTCAGTGTGGTCTGGAGGGCAAGTGAGTAGACTGCAGACAAATCTACATTGCCCTGGGGCATTCTACACCAGGTCATCTGGCGATTTTCAGAATATAAAATACAAATAGCACCCTCATCTGGTGGTCCACAGGAAACTGAAAAAAAAAGCATTTGTTAAATCAATCACTGTATAATATTCTGCATCGGATGGAATGGAGGTGAGGAGTGATGGCACATCAGGCACTATTGGGGCTATTGGAACCACCAAATTATTTTATGGCCCTCAAATCTTGTACAAACCTGTAAGAGCCATCCGGCTTCTTAACAGGATTGATAGATGTGTTGTAAGAAGATAGAAACAGTCTCTTCTAAAATACCTGTCTTTAAAAATCTTTCCACTAGAGGAGCAATCCCTTCCTCTTTTTCTGGTGTTAATTTGTATTGCCTCTGTTTGTAGGGCAATGCCCCTTCCTTGAGTGTGACTGTGTATGGTGTACATGAAATTAATCCTACATCCATAGAATTTGTGGCCCAAACTGGATGTGTATCAGGAGGGGGTGTGTAATGTGTGAGGATGACTCTCATCATTGAAATAGGCGGGTATAATGGGTACTTTGGAGGATCTGGCAACAATACCTCCTTCTGATGTTACTCTCAGTGAAATCCCTAAAATTCCCATAAGATCTCTCCCTCTCTCTTGGGAATGGGTCTGTACTTCCCATGGCTTCTGTCCAGCCTGCCATACAATCCAGCAGGATTTTATTAAATAATAATCCGTTCCACAAACTCTAGCAACATAATCCTTACAATTTTCTCCCTTTCCTCCTTGACCCATATTTAGACAGTGGATAAGATTATCTTACTTTATAATCTTATTTTGTTCCATACAACAAATTATCTTATACTTCTAAGCCACAGAAAGAAAGAGCAAAAGACAGATAAACCAGAATCTGCTCCACAGACTTATTAACCTTTTGATAACTTCCCAAAAGTTATCTCTTCACTGTTCTACCAAAGGACAGTGTGTTCTACCAAAGAACAATCTGTGTTCTACCAAATAACACTTTTTATAGTGCACTATTTTGTAACTCTACCAAAGAGTTAAGTCTGCTTACCAAAAGCAGCTACAGGTTATCACGGGTCTATATAGACAATACAGAATGATTCAAGACCTTCCCTCAACACAGGGCAAGAAAGAGCTTTTAGTCATAAAAAGACAATTGGTTTACTTACCAAGTGAGGTGGGTGGTCATCCCGGGCCAAGCCCCCAGCTGGAAGGATCAATTTTCTTTATCCCCTCAGAGACTACTGGTCTGTGGAGAGATTCCTGGCTTATCAGAAGAAATCTGGGAACACCCTATGAACACAGAATAACAGCAGGCAGCTTATGTTCAAAGATGTTTAAAGTTTATTAGACATTACTAAGATTATATAGGATACAGAAAAAATAAGGGAGGGGGGGAGCAAGTTTCAAAACTGTAACTTGTAAGTTTCCATCATGAGCTAACTACATGTAACATGACATATACATTTCTTGGTATTAACTGTTTTTGCTAGCTTTCTGAGAATTAGCAGACATGAAAACTTCAGGGTCATCTTATCTTTTGTTTTTATACATCCTTGAGCAAACTAAAACAGTTTAATTAAACTTCTATTATATCTGCAAAAAGCTAAGTTAATACTTAAAATAGCGTACATCAACAAAATGGAGGTTATCTAGATCCTTTCAGGCACCATGTCTGATATGCATATAAGCCTTTCCATAGGACTTTCTTTGCAATTTTTTTTTTAAGTATATTGCTGGGTCTTTCCTCAACCCCCCCCCCCCCCACCCCCCATTGCCTAGAATGTGACAGCACATGTGCATGGCTGGGTTGAATTTACTATATCCTAATCTCAAGGCTAAAAAGACAATAAGGGGTTTATTTACTAAACCTGGAGAGTGCAAAGTCAGGCTCACGTTTGCATAGAAACCAATCAGCTTCTAACCTCAGCTTGTTCAATTAAGCTTTGGCAATGAAACCTGGAAGCTGATTGGTTTCTATGCAGAAGTGAGCCTGACTTTGCACTCTCTAGGTTTAGTAAATAAACCCCTCAGGGTCAAAAGAGCTTTGGCTGGATGTGCATTCTGAATTCTGCTAAATCCCGCTGTCGGGTGATGTCACAGAGCCAGTCCAGGTTCTGGAAAGATCCCAACTTTTAATGTTGGGATCCACCTAGATGCCTGATTGGCAGCTGGCTCAACCTCTCAGCTTGGCACTGAGAGCCTGAGCCAGCCTTCCCCACCCTCTCTGCAGTCCTGCACTCCAGTGAGTACTGGAGGGGAAGAACAAAGAGCAGGCAGCTGACAGTCACCAGCTCTCTGCTCACAGAAGACCGAGAACTGAGAGATCAAGGGTGTTTGATCACTCGGTTCTCATGTCCAATACTGCATCCATCTAGGTGAGTAAAAATTTTTTTTTTGTGTTTAGAATCCCGAACTTCTGTTTTAAATTTTTTATGCTTTCAGCAAAATATTTGACTTCTCCTTCACCAGGCGCCCCATTACTCCCATGAGATTTAACCCAAAATTCCAACCAGGCATGTCTGTCATCTTTTTCAACACTTGGTAGATGCAAACCTTCTTTAAGTAAGGCAAGAAGGTTCCTTACCTTACAAGAACAAACCTACTAATGTAGTCCGCAATAATCCTACCAGCATGTATGACACTTTCCCAATGTCCCAGAAGACCACAAACTTTTCACAAGAAAGCATAGGGAGTTTGCATGCCTATGCATATTCAACACTCCACAAAAAGGCATATATTCCAGAAACATACACCCAAAGAAGTGGTGAAGGGACCTAGATCCTAGCTTTACAGAACAAGAGTAGGAACAAAAATATTAACACTATTGTATATTACTAAAAGGCTCCATTAAGATCAATATACAAGAAACAAACCAAGAACTACGTACTAGATCAGGGGTGGGCAAACTTTTTGACTTGAGGGCCGCAATGGGTTCATATATTGGACCCGGGGGCCGGACCAAGAGTAGATGAATGATGTGTATGTATCATCCATAGTAAGTATAGTAATATTCCCCCATAGTACGCATAGTAATTAATCCCCCATATAGTAATTCATCCCCCATAGTAATTCATCCCCCATATAGTAATTCATCCCCCATATAGTAATTCATCCCCCATAGTAATTCATCCCCCATATAGTAATTCATCCCCCATAGTAATTCATCCCCCATATAGTAATTCATCCCCCATAGTAATTCATCCCCCATATAGTAATTCATTCCCATATTAATTCATCCCCAATATTAATTCATCCCTCATATAGTATTTCATCCCCCACAGTACTATTCCCCCCCAAGTAGTAAGCCAAGTCCCCCCTGTGTCAATTCACTTACCTTTGCTCCGCGCGTTCCTCTCGCCGTGTTCCCGCGCCGTTCCGGTCTTCAGGGCGGACTGTGAGAGGAGCCTAGCTCCCCTCATGTTCATCACGCTGTCCCGCCTACACACATCCTGACAGCCAATGTATCACGCTCCGCGGGCCGGATTAAGAGGTCCGCCGGGCCGTAGTTTGCCCATTGCTGTACTAGATAGTACCGTACACCATACATTCTCTCCCTTTCATTTGCTTATTGTGAAAAATGGTAATCCCAAGACTTTCAAATCTACATACATCTCTGAGGTGAGAGAATAATTTAATTGCATAGATTTTGGAGTGGAAATGAAAGAATCAATTCACATCAGTAATGATAATATGACCCCTTACATTCATACTTGACCTGTTTGGATGTTATCAATATGTGATCAGTCAGAGAAACACCACATAACCTGAGATTTTGGCTGATTAGCCTCTACTTTCCCAGTAGATATTGTGCCCTAAGCTTTTTCCAACAACAAGAGATCTCACTGTCAGGAATGGACTTGCCAGTGGTGGTGGGACTCACTTGCCTTGTGGGCTGCAGTACCAAGGCTGGCCAGCGGGTGCTCTCAGCAGCCAGAATCTCACTCCTGCAATCAGGCCATCACCTGAAGCTGATTGCAGGAAGTGTATTTAAGCAGGACCAGGCTTGTGATCAGTGCCTTGGTGATGTTTCCCATGAGCCCCTGTACCTTGTATCCTGTGTCCTGTTCCTCTGCCGATCTGATTTGTTGCCGACCCTGCCTGATCCTGACCTCTGCTGACTTCTCCTGCTTGATCCCTGGCTCGTTTGACTACTCTCCTGGACATCCCTAATCTGATCTGTACTCCTGTTACCAACCACGGCGAGTGACCTGACTACTCTTCTGCCTGCTGCTTAGTACCACGCTGACCTGCTGTTACCGACCCGGCCCGTCTGACCACGCTAACTACTCTGCCATCCATCCATCCTGCACGGATCCAGTCATCCTGCTTACACCTTCTGCCTCTTCACATCAGGCTTCCTACCTGCATATACCTCTGGCATATCCCTCTACCACAAGCAGGTGTACTCGGTGCCCGCTACCCAGCCTGATGGCCCGATCCAGCCTGATGGCCCGATCCAGCCTGATGACCCGATCCAGCCTGATGACCCGATCCAGCCTGATGACCCGATCCAGCCTGATGACCCGGTGTCCGTGATCCAGCCTGGTGCCTCGGTGCCCGTGGTCCGGCCTGGTACCTCGGTGCCCGTGGTCCGGCCTGGTGCCTCGGTGCCCGTGGTCTGGCCTGGTGCCTCGGTGCCCGTGGTCCGGCCTATTGACTCGGTGCCTGCTGTCGAGCTTGGTTACCCGGTGCCCGCTGCCGTGCCGGATGGCTCGGTGCCCGCTATCGTGCCAGATGACTCGGTGCCCGCTGTCGAGCTTGGTGACCCGGTGCCCGCGGTTCTGCTAGATGGCTCGGTGCCCGCTGTCGTGCCAGATGACTCGGTGCCCGCTGACTTGCCAGATGACTCGGTGCCCGCTGTCGAGCTTGGTGACTCGGTGCCCGCTGTCGTGCCAGATGACTCGGTGCCCGCTGTCGAGCTTGGTGACTCGGTGCCCGCTGTCGTGCCAGATGACTCGGTGCCCGCTGTTGAGCTTGGTGACCCGGTGCCTGCGGTTCTGCTAGATGGCTCGGTGCCCGCTGGCGTGCCAGATGACTCGGTGCCCGCTGTCGTGCCAGATGACTCGGTGCCCGCTGTTGAGCTTGGTGACTCGGTGCCCGCTGTCATGCCAGATGGCTCGGTGCCTGCTGCCTTGCCAGATGACTCGGTGCCCGCTGTTGAGCTTGGTGACCCGGTGCCCGCTGTTCTGCCAGATGGCTCGGTGCCCACTGTCATGCCAGATGACTCGGTGCCCACTGTCATGCCAGATGACTCGGTGCCCACTGTCCTGCCAGATGACTCGGTGCCCGCTGTTGTGCCAGATGACTCGGTGCCCGCTGTTGTGCCAGATGACTCGGTGCCTGCTGTCGAGCTTGGTGACCCGATGCCCGCTGTTGTGCCAGATGACTCGGTGCCCGCTGTCGTGCCTCTGCCTGCTGCCCAGCCTGACGTGCCTCTGCCTGCTGCCCAGCCTGACGTGCCTCTGCCTGCTGCCCAGCCTGACGTGCCACTGCCTGCTGCCCAGCCTGCCGTGCCACTGCCTGCTGCCCAGCCTGACGTGCCTCTGCCTGCTGCCCAGCCTGACATACCGGCTCCTGATGCCCATCTTGCTTCTGGAAATCCTGTGTCCAGCAATCTGCCTTCCTGCGGTCTCCTGTAAAAATATAGGGGCTATCAGCAGGAGACACAGCCAATCGCTTGATTTGGGCAGTGGGATGTCCAGCCAGTTGCCGGACCCAGGCGGTGGAACATTTGGGCCATTACCGACTGTTTAGAGCGTCCTGCGGACGCTCCTTGAGGGGGGGGTACGGTCAGGAATAGACTTGACAATGGTGGTGGCACTCACTTGCCTTGTGGGCTGCAGTACCAAGGCTGGCCAGTGGGTGCTCTCATTAGCCAGAATCTCACTCCTGCAATCAGGCCATCACCTGAAGCTGATTGCAGGAGGTGTATTTAAGCAGGACCAGGCCTGTGATCAGTGCCTTGGTGATGTTTCCCATGAGCCCATGTACCTTGTATCCTGTGTCCTGTTAATCTGCCGATCTGATTTGTTGCCGACCCTGCCTGATCCTGACCTCTGCTGACTTCTCCTGCTTGATCCCTGGCTCGTTTGACTACTCTCCTGGACATCCCTAATCTGATCTGTACTCCTGTTACTGACCCTGGTGAGTGACCTGACTACTCTTCTGCCTGCTGCTTAGTACCACGCTGACCTGCTGTTACCGACCCGGCTCGTCTGACCACGCTAACTACTCTGCTATCCATCCATCCTGCACGGATCCAGTCATCCCTGCTCACACCTTCTGCCTCTTCACATCAGGCTTCCTACCTGCATATACCTCTGGTAGATCCCTCTACCACGAGCAGGTGTACTCAGGGGCCGTGACCTGGTTCCTGTGTGCTCCAAGTCCATCCCCACCATCAGGGGCCCTGGTGAATAAGCAGACTGGGACTTAGACTCCGTGCCCTGGGGAATCATGTCCCGAGGACTGCTAGAGGTACCACCAGATGGTCGTTAACAGAACCATATGGCCGGCCTGACTATTCCACCTCTCCAGCCCTGACTACGCCTGTGTTCCTGCACATACTAAGATTAGTAGAAGGTTGGTTTGTTTACTGTGCGTTGTATATTTGGGTGGCTAATAATAAGTATATTGTTATTATATCATTCCTGAAGCCTGTTACTTCCCTGTGTCAGTCCACACACCTCTGGTCACACCCGCATCCTTGACACTCACATTCTAGTGGGTCTATTTGCCCTTTTTCTTTGCTAACCCCCACCCAGGTTCCTTGGTTTTCCAGGCAATCAAACCTCTAGTCACCATGCTTATATTTATTCCCAGATTAATTAGTAGTGTCCACCCTTTTTTCACCCATATTTGCTGAATCCAGACCAATCAAACACCTTCAAAACCATTGCTGTCTCACTAAAGCTATTATGCCGTAAACTTGTTGTATAATTATGCAGTGTACCCTCAGGAATGCTTGCCATGCAATCTTGTACAACTCACGTGAACTGATATGAAATGTATACCACCATGTATAATGCTCTGATGTCTTTATATGAAAAAAACAATAGAAAATGCATACAAATATGCAAGAATGTGGGGCGTGTTGAAGCATACTCATACAAGTTTTTGTTTTGTTTTTTTTTGTCTTCTACTTGTTATTTTCCCATGTTACTACTATGCTTATTACATTCTCCTTCTCTTGGTATGCAATTCATCCTTCTATTGATGGATACATCTCAGAAACCAGATACCCTCTCGGGCGTAGGGGAAGATGGTCAGTGCTGTGCTTGGTACCTACAATATATAACTACATCACTAGCCACCTTAGAGCACATATATAAAACCCAAAAATGGTTATCATAACATCCTTTAATGTTAAAGGACTTAATAGCCCCTACACACGTACATCTCTATGGAGAAAATCCTTAAAAACTGGATGTCGCATCCTGTGTGTGCAAGAAACACACTTTAATAAGGCCAACCCACCTACATGCAAACACCAGAAGTTCACACAATACTTTTTTGCAAATGCTAATAAAAAAAACAAAGGAGTAATGATTACAATAAAAGACACAGTAGCCGTACAAACTCACTCAATTTCTTCAGACCCACAAGGTAGATATATTATCTTAGTTGCAACTATTGACAATCTTTTAATGATGCTAGTAAATGTATACGTTTCAAATAAGGGACATAAAGCCTTTTTTGAAAACCTATCGAACAAAATTAAACTACTAAGGCAAGGAGCTTTAGTCATTTGTGCAGATTTTAATGAAGTAATCGGTACAAACCTAGACTCCACTAACAAATTACGCAGACAATCCCAAACTCTATCTTCCTTTATAGAATCAGAAGATCTATACGATGCATGGAGATGTCTCCATGGTGGAGAAAAAGATTATACCTATTTCTCTCATTCCCAAAACTCATATTCACAGATTGATTTACTATTAACCGATAAAAGATCTTTACAACAAGTATCCAGAACCAAAATTGGCTCCATCACATGGTCAGACCGTGCCCCGCTTACCTCAGAAATCTTTACAACACCTTACTCCAACAACCTTTCTGTATGGAGACTAAATTCAGCCCTACTTTCAAATCAAAATTATAAATCCCAAATAGACAAGGAGTTAGTTTCTTACTTCCAAATCAATGATAATAAAGAGGTAGATGATTTTGTTTTGTGGAATGCTGTCAGGGACCATCGCGACGCATGGGTCCGCACATGCGTAGGTGTCTGTCAAGACATGCAGGCAGCAGGGCACTAGGACCCAGGCGCACCCGTCTGCTAGAGGTACCGCCAGGCGGTTGCTAACAAATGCACACAAAGTATACATGAGAGGAATACTCATCAAACTAGGTGCTTAAAAAAAAAAAGGAAAGCTAAAACAATTACAGATATACTATCACAAATTAAACTCCTGGAATCACAACACAAACAAAACCCAGAACAAAAGGCCCTATCTCAACTACGCTCCTTACGAGAGAAACTAAGGCTTCAACTTATGGAGCATGACTTTATGGTAAAAAACCTGAAATTTATATCATATACGCAGGCAAACAGAGCAGGTGCATTCTTAGCAAAACAATTTAGGCGATATCAATCCAAATCTAAAATTGCATATCTAAACGACCCATCTAAGGGAAAACTTATGAATCCGCTAGACATAGCCAACGCATTTAGTAGCTATTATGCAGCATTATATAACATAAAAAACTCCTGAGAATTTATCCCCCCTACTAACACTCAAATCAATACGTTTCTGGAATCATTACAACTCCCTAGGATCCCCACAGAACAACTAGACTCACTATCACAACCCTTTACCACCTCTGAAATTAATAAAGTAATTCATAATCTCCCATCTCACAAATCACCAGGACCAGACAGTTACAATAACGAGTATTATAAAACTCCAACCCTAATCCAATATCTATTTAAATTTGTTCATAAATTTACAACATCTGAAACTATTCCAAAAGAAACATTAGAAGCTCTTATTATCACATTACCAATACCTGGTAAACTTTCCACATCACCAGCCAATTTCAGACCTATATCTCTCCTGGATACTGACACAAAGATCTATACCAAATTACTAGCCAACTGACTTCAATCACTAATGCCAAAATTAATTAATCCAGATCAGGTTGGTTTTATCAATGGGCGTCAAGCACCAGATGGCACACGCAGATTCATAAATCTAGCTCAATGAGCAAACTACACAGAAATATCTTCTCTGCTTATCTCATTAGATGCAGAGAAGGCATTTGACAGGATCTATTGGCCATACTTGCAATTGGTTCTGGAAGAATTTGAAGATCAGGAACTTTTGGGAAAGCGATTACGGCTCTATATACATGCCCCAGTGCCAGAGTATGGTCATCCAGTATACTCTCTGATCCATTTCAGATATCGAATGGCACAAGACAGGGGTGTCCCTTATAACCCATGATCTTTGCTTTATACATAGAACCATTAGCAGAAGCAATCCATATACAACCTGACATTGGGGGTATCAAAATAAGACACATAACACACAAAATAGGTATATACGCAGACGACACCATAATCGCTATGACTGACCCCCTCATCTCGATAACAGCATTACAAAAAGTTATTTTGCAATTTAGCTCACTATCCCTATACAAAGTAAATGAAGCCAAATCCTCTGTTACCTATAGTAATCTAACCTAACCTGCATAAATGAATATCATTGATTTCTCCCTTCTCATGGGCAACAATCCTCACAAATTACATACCTAGGAATAAAATGAACACCTCCTCATTTAAGATCAACTTTTAAAATCTGCTCATTAAAATAACAGAACTATGTAAAGAGTTTTCCAACACCACTATGTCCTGGGTGGGGTGAATTGCTATTGTAAAGATGTTTATCTTACCACACATTTTATACTTCTTCCAGGCTATCCCAATACCACTGCTAGCCTCATCCATACAAAAAACTACAATCATTACTGAATGATTACATTTGGGAACGCAAAAAAGCACGTATCAACAAACTAGCACTATACTCTTCTCGGTCTGATCTAGGTATGGGAGCCCCAAACCTAAAATTATACTATAAAGCAATAGTGTTAGATCAAGCGCAGCACTGGTGGTCACCTCAAATAGATAAGAGATAGGTACAAATAGAACAATCTCTTCTCCCTGGTAACACCCAAGCCACAGTGTGAGCTCTTACCCTCATCCATAGAGTTCCAAGATACTGCTTAGACACAATTAATATGACTCTTCGCACCTGGGTATCTATCCTGTGAACCTCACCGAAAACTCGCCCTACAATTAATAGCTTTATACCTTTACTCTCCATCTCAACGATTACATATGATCTTGAGCTTAAATCCTGGACAAAAACAGACATCTAAAACCTTGCTCAACTATATACAAATGGTACCTTATAAACATTTCATCAACTTTCAGAAACATACAATATTACACTTAAGGATTTTTTCAAATACCTAAGAATACGTCATACATTACAAAACCTGGAATACCAGGAAGATCTTCTTCTTCGATCTCTGATTAATATTTATGAAAGAACAGACTCTCATAAACGAGGTATCTCATTCATATATACTACCCTCCTTCAACGTTATCACCTAAGAAAACTACCAGCGATACAAAAATGGGAACGAGACCTAGGGAAACAATTCCCGATTCAACAATAGCAAACAGCAGGGAATTGGACCAGGAAAGCTACCAGATGCATTAACCACTGGGAATC